TCCAAATGACCTTTATCTTTTTTCTATATAATATATGCATTGAAGCAGCACATATCAAGTAATTGTAGAAAATTTTTTTTATAAAATTTGTTTGCATATTACGGGCAGCCATGTAGGTCACCATAACTCCATCTCTCAAATCTACGGTCGCCCATATTCTTGTTATAATCCAGGACAACATTCGGTTTTTCTTCCCTTCTTGCTCCCTTTTCAATCACTGTATTTTCCTGGTTATGAATAGAACTGAGCATCAATACGTCTTTTTTATCCTTCCATTTTAGAACCATAAGTTTACCATAAAACCATAATCTTACTATATGTTCATTTTTCTGTAATTTTTTTCTTTTTATTTCACTGGGCATTCCGACTCTGTTTATCCTCATTGTTCCAACAATGTTTGTATTTTTTTGACACAAGAGTTCAGTCAAATGAATTGACGTATAGAAATTATGTAAGTAAATCCTATACCCTTTATTCAGTAAGTCATGCGTTAACTCCAAAACAATTCTTGTTGATTGTTCTTCTTGTGGGTAGTTGGAACCATAATTTGTGTCCTTGCGTGTGTATAAAATTATATTTTATATCCAAAATTGGTTTCCACTCAAAATAAACAACTTCATTCCAAATCTAGCTCTTTTTGTAGATATATATTGTTTCCAAGATAAATTCCCTTTGCATAACAAAAGAGATTCATCTACGCATATTTCTCGTTCACATACATAAAACCTTTGAAACTTTTCTGACAAATTATTGATGATTGGATCAATTTTATATGTTTTTCTATTAGATGTGTTAGGATCAAAACTTAGATTGTCTGCAAAATGCAAAAGCTTACATAATAATTCAAACCTTCTTTCGCTCATGGTTGCGTAAAAAAGTGGTGTTTCAATTATTTTTCTTTTTGAAAAATGAAGTTCAAAAGCCGGTTTTCCAATTATTCCTTGTAAAATTAGGAGTCCGATAAAAATTTTTATTTCAGCTTCATTTATATCCTTCCATTTTCTAATTTTCTCAACTCAGGATCATTATCAAAAAATTGGGCGGCGTACAAATTTGTTCGCTCTGTAATTAATTTGATAAGTTCCTCATCTAAAAACTTCTCAAGATAAAAGAAAGGAACTTTTTTGCTGCTCTCGTCGGTATCGCCGACAGCGTCCGCGAAGGAGCCCCCCACCCCCCCCCTCCTCGCTGACTGTCGCCGGCGCCCTGCGCGAAGCCACGTCTCACATGGCGCGGGTTTTCACACCGAGGACACAGGGCTAAAGTGCCCCGTCCTCCGCATTGCTATGCTCCATAGGAGCCGCGTCGCCACTATCTACTAAAAAAAAGTCTCGTCCAAACTACTTAAGTTTTCCGGCATCCCCGGGCTGACCGCCACAGGGCGCGTTGAGCGTCCCTGCTCCGCCGCTTGCATCGTCCGCGCGGTGACGTCACCTTCAGCCGAGGTCCTTCCGGCTGCGCAGTCGCGCGCCGCCGCGGCAGCCAATGGGCGCCCTCCTTTGCCGACTTGCGCCGTAGCGACGTCCAATATGTCGAAGAACAATGTGGAATATTCCGCACAATTTTCACTGATTACACCCACTGCGCCTACCCCAGGACGCGAGTCCCCGGCCACTAACTCACAATCATCATACGAATCACCTATCGCACATTTTTCCCAGTTGAAGTATGCGAATTCCATCTTCTTTGTGTGTTTCGAGGCCTCCTGTTTAACGGATGAACCATACTGCGTCATAGCTTCTGACTGGCATTCAGTTTGTTTCTAATCGTCCAAAGAAAAAGTATCACGTGTCACCGGTCTCTCTAGGTAAATTAGATAGAAAGTACTATAACTCAGTAGTGGCGTCCACAATGTCCACGATTCCCGGAGAAATTTTTACACTAATTCACTATTCACGAGCACCACGCCACACTCCGGGACGCGAGTCCCTGGCCACTGGCACCCACGCATTACGCGCACGAGATGACACTAACACCCGCGCCCGAAAACAGTTTTCCGCCGGAATATAGACCACGCTGGAGGAGCGTCACAGGGACTCTGGAAGAACGTAACCTTTTTTTTTTTTTTTTTTTTTTTTTTCGGGTTAATATCGTGGTGAGATAACTCCCTAGGGGAAATTTTCGAGAAGATAACCCCACCCCCTGGGGTGGGGTGAAGGTTATGTGAAATTTTTACTCACTAAAACCCCCACGGCGGCCCTCCCCGTCGAAATTGACGGCGCTCCGGGAACTCTTGCGATAACAACCGGAGCACCGCCGCGGCGTGGCAATTGTTCGGGCTCATCCAAATGTTAATACCTCGTTTTGCGGTGCCGCGTGGCCACAGCGGCCACAGCGGCCACAGACATCCGGGCCCGCCACCGAGATGCCCACGGTCCGCCCGTGCTGTGGCGGTGAGCGGGAGAGCTTAACCCACCGTTACCACAGCCAGTGCAATGGCGCGGTTGGGTTCAAAACCCAACCGCTACGGCCTGCAGGGCGGCGAGCCTGCGACGTGCTCGCCGCCAGTGCCTCCGCTTGCGGATTGCGTCCGCTGACTCGCGGACACGCTCCGCGGCCTCCTTCTGGAGCATAACCTGCTCGCAGAAGGAGGCCACCGCACCCCACGCGCTCACGCTCTCCACCATCTTCGGGACGATGACAGAGAGCGAGAGATCCCTCTCCATCAGTCACTCCTGCGTTTTCCCTGTTAACACATTGCGGACGGGGCTCTGCGCGTTCAACACGCCCTCAAAGACCGCACATTTTCGAACGCTCCAAAAACATGCTTGGCAAGTAACAGGAAGCGGATACGCACATTTCTAATTTGCATTTAGTATTCTTAAATAATACTATATATACATAGTTTATATATCTGTTTATTATATAAGATTTTTTACATTTTAACTATTATTTATTATACAAATTTGAATATTGATTTAGAGTGTGATATTTGGTAAAGCATACTCCTTTGTGCTATGCTGTTTGGCACAATTGGCAACAGTATCTTGTTTCGCTCCTTTTTTCATTGCACGAACAAACTTTACATTGCTTCGCTCCTTTTTCCATTGCACGAACAAACTTTACATTGTTTGGTTGGGAACTTCTTCTTGCCTTTACTGCGTATTGGTTCCAGTATATGCTGTTTCATATTACCAGAGAGTCCACATGGTGGGTCGACATGTAGGTGATTTGTTGTATTTGAAACACCTTGTTCTACATCCATAAATGTATCCGTTGATTTTTCTTCCGTCGTCCACAATTTCATCACAGCAAGTAGAAAATCTTTATATTTCATTTTTTCATTATTACACGAATTATAAATCTTGAATGCATTGAGCAGGCCGCAGTTGACGAGATATAATACTATCTTTTTAGGCCACTTAATTGTTTTTCTCAATATTGAGTAATATGATAGATATTGATCTGCAAGATCGACACCGTTCATGTTTAAATTATAATCTGCAATGCATTTCGGTTTTTGTATAGTTTTATATTTTTCAGTGCATTCAACCATTTCAAATTTATGAATTGTCGAAATCATTCGAACCTCTCTCTTATCTTTCCAAATTTGCAACAAAATATCACCTTTCCGTTTGAAAATACTCTCCCCTTTTTGTAGTTTTAACGATTTTGTTTTTAAACATTTTGGCAATCTATTGGCGCGTATTGTGCCACATATTCGGATTTTATTTTGTAATAAAAATTCGGCAATGTTCAAAGTATTATAATAATTATCCATATAAAGATGGTGCCAATATCCGAAATACGGTGTAAGAATCGTTGTTACCGTGTCTTGCAGTTTTTTGTCTTGTCCACAATAAATTTCTATATTACATATATATCCCGCCTGACTCTCCGATAATACTCGTACAAGTATTCCATATTTAGTAAGTTTACGTGGATTGTACGTTTTAAATTTTAATTTTCCACCTCAAGGGATCATGGCTTTATCTAGCGATAGGTTCTGATGAGGAGTATAAACGGTTTTAAATTTTAAAAATAAAAGGTAGGTAATTGTAAACAGGTTGTATTTTGTAGAGCCTATCACTATTTTCATTCATTTTCGTGTTATCGTTAAAATGTAAATACCTCGTAACCTGATCAAATCTGTTCCTACTCGTTAATTTTGAAAAAATAGGTGTTGCCAAATATGGATCCACGGACCAGTATTCTTTTATGTTATCCTTTCGTATTTGTCCCATCAAAATAAATATTCCGAACAAATTTTTTATTTCGGAACATGAGACATTTCTCCATTTTCCTTGTTCATGAATAGCCTTATATTTATGTACATTTTGTAAGTATTAGCGATTTGTTTCTTCAGAAATAATTTGGAAAAATTCATTGCCAAATATACAATCAACAGCTTCTTTCACGCTGCAATTTCTTTGTAATGATGTTGTACCACAAATTATTTCGAAAGGTTACAGATTGGGAAAAGTATCCTCATTTGTCCATTCTTCAATTATAGGCTCATCAGTCTCCACATCCGAATCTTCACTTTCGCTTGAAATATTATATTTTTTACTCAGATTTTTTCTATGTATAATCACATCACTTAATTCAAGAATATGGCTGCTATCACTTCATTTTCCTCTTTTTCCGGATGAAGTAATGTATGAATACAGGCACCGCCTCATAGCGATGAACACACACGCACACGCACACACTCTTTTTTCATTATGATTTGAAATATGCAATTTCCCATACTTTTTTTTGTTGGTTTTGATTTATAAATTGTTAGCCTACAGTCATTTGATTTATACGCTATTGTCAAGAAGATTTTCCAACTATGGCTAATTCCCTTCTGTTCGTACGTATCCTTCCAACGAGTGTCGTCCGTTTTGCCAACAATTTTCTAGCCAGGGATGCAGTGGCGAGAAAAATTGTACGTTGTAATATTCTTGTAGAAGTTAGTGAAAGGTACGGCCAGTTTCGGGCCAACAAATTCACTCAGTGGTATTGACGCCAGTTTTGTTTCATCCCGTCCTAATTATGGCAACCCATTTACAATATATTTGGTATTGACGTCAAACGCCAGCCAAAATTTGATTCCAAATTTGTTTGGTTTATTTGGCATTCACTGCGTAAATTTGCATCTCGCTTTTGTGGGAAACAGTTGCTTGTCAGTGCTCACATTTCTGCTTGGTTTGTAATAACTTTGGCTAATTTCGATAAACTTGTTCTACGCGTCTGAAACTGGAGCAAACTTGTCCGTGCACAAACGTTGGATTCGTTATGTTTTTTTTTATCGAATCGGAGAAATCTCAAAATTTCTGTGAAAGCGTTCCTGCTCATAGCTTTCGAAGAGAAAAGGGAGGTTTCCATTTCGTATTCCGCAGATGTGAAGTGGGTAAATTTTTTGCTTAAATATGAGACATTACTTAACCCTTTGCACTCGACAATTTTTTGGCTAAAGAAGAATAGGAGTTCGAAGATTTTCTGCTAGAAAGTTGACGATATATTTTTGAGCAGTAAATGAGAAATAGTATAATAATTGATACGTAGAATTATTTGATTTCAATACCTTGCACACCGTTACATTATCTTGAATGTGATGTATTAATCAATATCTATCTTAGAAATTTTGTTAATTTTTTTTTTTATTGACTTAACGAGTTTTACAATCAGTTCCTCAAATGGGATTTATAAGTAAAAATGATAGCTTTATGAGGGACATGAAAAGCAAATACGTAAATCGTTGCATCGGTTGATTACTTGCAGTATGTGTAGTACAATGATGGAGTTTAAGTTATTAGGAGATTCGACATACTAATGCTAACTGATTTTTATGGCGCGCTAACTGACTCATGTGGCGTTGGCTAAATTGGGTGATTTCGCATTTTACTGAAAGTATAGCCAACTGCACTCTCTAGTGCAACGGGTTAAAACCTGAACGCGGTCTCATTCGCTTGTTTCCGGACAATGAGTACCTAAAGAAAATATTTTGAACTTTGGCATTTTCTTAAAATACTATATTTTCATTCCATATACAATCGTCATATACAATCTAACCAAAAAAAGAAGCAAAATCGAAACTTTAATTTATAATTATAGAAAAAAACACTGCCTTTTTTTCATGTGGTGTTTTACATATACATGATATAACGGAAAATGAAAACACTAATATTTAAGGTATATATGGTAGTTTTCGAAACATTGTCCAAGACGTAAGCGTGCTAGGCATTGAGCATACATAAAGCTGAGGAATAATTAAACTTATTATATCGTTCAACAAAAAGCGTAAACACACGAAAGAGGTACTTAATTATGGAATACACTGCTTGAGAGTGATTCTTGCTTTTATTGTTTATGAACCATCGTATACGTTTTATTTTTGGAGTATAACATTCAATTCATGGCACATGAATGTAAATTCAATAAAAAAAATGTCAACAAAGAAAAAAATAGAAACAATAAAAACTTCAATAAAAAAAAAAAATTATCGTGAGGGCGAGAGTCAAGTAACAAACTTTGAATGCAGACCGGCGTTATTGCGGGTACATACGATATGCGAAGAATTTTTCCCTTTAAAAAATAGGTTAAGAAGAAGAACGGAAAGCGAAAAATTAAACAATCGGATAATATAAAAATTTACAATACGTGAAATGAGCGAGAGAAATAACAACGAATATACGGTTATAAAGTAAATTTTGAAAAGAATCATTTGACCACGCTTGGTGCGTTTAGCGTTAATTGTACTTGTCCATGGCCGCTAAAAAAGCAAGACACTCGTTGTCCACATGTGCAATGTGATTCAGTAACTCCGCTCAAGGCTGCATCTTCGTTACCGTTGGTAATATGCGAAAGTACCCTTCGAGGGCGACGTATGATTCCCTATTTGTCTTTACATTACCAGTATTTTGCGTTGTATAATAATATTGCGTAATACATGGGACGAATCAGGATCAGGTCCATACAGTACACAGACGTCGTCCTCAAGGGGTTAAAAGACACAGTTCGTTTCTTCGAGAAGGCACATGTTAAGAGGGAAGTCATTTTTGGCTCAAGCTTACAATTTTTGATATGTCAAGTTCAACTATGTTTTTCAAATGGACTTACATATTCTTGTTGTTATGTCTTCGTAGCTGAGTCCAAATCGAGTCCAAAGACGTCTATAATATCACGATCTTCGTGTCATCTTGAGTGCCAAAGTTTAAATATTTACAGGAATTGCTACGAATACTAAAATAACAACAGCAGAGAAGTGAGAAATGTGAATTATATTATTATAATATTATAATAAATTTTTAAAATTGGTAAATTGTACGCAATTTCAAGGAAGAAAAAATATGTTCATTCGGTACGTGGTTGCTAATTAAAAAAAAAGCTGATATAATCGATGGAGTGATGTATGGAAGAAATTAAGATAAATAAAGAAGTTAATCACGTTTCAGAAGAGCACACAAGAAATAATTTAAATTCGACTGGAATTTTGAACAAAAATGATTTCCTTTGATTTTTAGACATTTGTTAATGCGATTTTTGATAAGGAGTCGTCCATCAATGATTACAAACTGATAGTAGTCAGGATAATTTACTATAGTCATCTTGATAGCAAATTTCTTCCAAGAGAATTTGTTTTTTTCTTTATTTTTGTAATATCTATTTGGTAAATATTGTAGTGTTTATTATCCAAAACACGAATCCGCAAGCAGATTTTTTGTAGAAACGTTTTATTTCTACTGAAAGCTAGTTAATCGTAGTTGGTTTCAAAAGACAGGAGAAAATTTTAATGATTTAGTTAACAGTTTGTTATGTTTATGTAGTCGTGAATGAGTTTCAGAAATAGTACTGTACTTAATGCTATATTTGCGTGAAAATTGTTTCAAAATTTAAGCAGGGATATCCTACGATATAATTCTCGTGCAAACATTGTTTTGTATATCAGCGATCAGAATACACATTGGATGTTTTATCCTTTTCGTCAATATTGTATCACGGAGCGGAGCGGAAATGGAAGAATGTGTTTTCCGGCTTTAACGTGACAGAAGAGAGGAAAATAAAATTCCCGAACGTGTACCTATTTCGTCATCGTGCAGTAGATCCATTTTGTGATCGAATTTCATAGGCATTATAATAACCGAACTCGATCTCTGCATTTCATTGCGATACACGTATTCTTCATGCCCTTATAACACTGCGAGTCTAAACGCTTGTGCGAATTAGTATTAGGGCTAATAAGTCTTCGATACAATCTACGTGCTGCAGTTTAACCCCTCCAGGAACAGTGTTAATCCTCACGACTATGTTCAAGCTTAACCTGGCTACGACGTCATGCCTTGAAAAGGAGATTATTACCACCGTAGAATTATGGAAGACTCCGTAGCCGTGGACTTTGCACATCTTATTTCCATGACGTGCGAATTATTGTCAAGGATCATATCACCAGTCGTAATATTACGGTTACACTCATCTTTATCTAATCGCTGGTGCAGAAATAAAGAAAAAAATATAAAGAACGCTACCAGTTGAGTACAATCCTAACAATATAAACCCAATGTGCAGACAAATTTTCAAGCATTCGTAGAGAAGATTGTTCCCAGTCGATCCTGCAACCGGACACAAGTATCTAAATATTCTTAAAGCCTGTACATCTCTAATCTTAATCATTGGTGGGATCTCGTACGCAATATTCTCTTATTGTTCGAAGAGAAAGGCAATTACCTACAATCGAAATCCAAGTGCAGGCTGCTCAATATTAGTTTTCTAGCAACATTTGCAATCACGACGTCACAA